GTGACAGGAATGAATGCCTGTGTTATTCCTCTTCCCTGCCCTCTCTCTCAGGTGCACCTCTGAAGCCAAGACACATCCTGCTACGACCAGTGCCGGCCCTGCTGCCAGCCCTGCGGCCCAACCCCACTGGCCAACAGCTGCAACGAGCCCTGTGTCAGGCAGTGCCAGAACTCCACCGTCGTCATTGAGCCTCCTGCTGTGGTGGTGACCCTGCCCGGCCCCATCCTCAGCTCCTTCCCTCAGAACACCGTGGTGGGATCCTCCACCTCTGCTGCTGTTGGCAGCTGTGACGGAGTCCTCATCAACTCTGCCTTCTGTGACCTCTCCTGCATCACCAGCCGCTACTGTGGCAGCAGATGCCCTCCCTGCTAAAGATGTAAGCAGTAGCCAGTGGTACAAGGACCCCCTGAAACTCAGAACATGGTGCTGGACAGAGGATTCAACTACATGCCATTGTTTTAAGAGCAGCTCACCGTCTCTGGCTTGCCCTGCAAGGGTAGATGTGAAGATGTCATCCTGGGCTCTCTGTAAGCACGGCCAACGTCTACCCTTCCTGTTCTTGTTTTCCTCTCACTCTTTTTAACTCTTTTCTTTGTTTTCTTGTTTTCCCCTCAAAGCCTGTTGTGAAACCCCAGAAACCATCCTAGAGGGACCTGCAGCCTGTCTCCCTTTGCTGGGCACATCAACAGATGCCCTGTGGGAACTCCGCCACAGGAAAAGGGGAACACATTTTTGTCTGCTTCTTCTGCTCCCCACACTGCGGGACTCCACTTGATGTGACCCCATTTCCCTCTTTAGACTCATTAAAGAATTGCTGCAACCCTGCCTGTGTCCTTTATGTGGTCTTTCCACCTGCATGTTGCCTGTGGGGGGAGAAAGCCATTGCTTTGCAGGAGGAATTAGGTGGGAGGACAGGAGAACCCTTCATCACTCCTTGAGACATTGGAGGGTGGGTCACACTGCAGAGTCCTCTTTCAGACACTGCCTCTTGAAGTTGAGGAAGACATCCCTGGTTACTCCACTGCCAACGACCTTAAGTCCTTGCCTTGCTCATGTGAAGAGGAATCCTGAGAGATGCCAAGGCCATCCCACATCTCCAGAGTATGGCACCCTGTGCTTTGGGAGCCTGCCCTCACAAACCCCCACCACAGCACCAGAACTGTGCAGCCAAGACAGAGGACAAGGTCATTCCTGCATGGGTTGAGGATGGGAGCACCACTTCTTGCAGGTACTGTGGGAGCCAGTGCTGACTCAGGTGGTAACTCAGGGCCAATGAGAATCAGGATCAAGCACACCCAGAACCACTGCAACAATGGCAGCCATGGCTTTTGTAAAAACATCCCAGCCTTTTGGTCTTCTCAGATGGGCCACAAGTCTGAAGGACACACTGGTCTCAATCAAGCAGGTGGGACCCCTTAATACCATCCCTTTTGTACACAAAACTCCCCTGCTTTTCCCAAGAAGAAATATGCTTCTGCTGCTCTAGTTCACCAAGGAGTGCTTAAGTCCTCCATAAATTCAAAGCATCTTTCCAGAGCGCTTCTTGGTACAGCTGTTGCCAGCAACTGTAAGACCACAGAATATTCTCAGGCACAACAGGCAGCAAGCGGTGGGCATTCGGCAGTTGGCAAGCAGTTGCAAGTCTCCTGCACAGCATCAGGGAACGTGAAAGGTTGACAGTCAGGATTTTCTCTGGGGTGCAGCAGCTTGGTGAATAGAACAGCACAAGAACTAGGATAGGATAGGATAGGACAGGACAGGACAGGATAGGCTAGGCTAGGCTAGGCTAGGCTAGGATAGAAGAGACGGAGAGAAGAACACAATTAGAATAGAATACAACAGGAATAGACTAGACTAGACTAGGCTGGAATATTACAGTTGGGAAGGACCTACAACAACGATCTAGTCCAACTGCCTGACCACTTCAGGGCTGACCAAAAAGTTAAACCATGTAATTAAGGGTGTTGTCCAAATGCCTCTTAAACACTAACAGACCTTGGGCATCGACCAATGCTCCATTGGTCTAGGAAACCTGTTCCAGTGTTTGATCACTGTCTCTGTAAAGAAATCTTTAGAGATGGTGTGTTTGAACATCCTGTGATGCAGCTTTGAACCATTCCCATGTGTCCTATCACTGAATCCCAGGGAGTAGAGATCACCACCTCCCTCTCCACTTCCCCTCCTCAGGACACCGTAGAGAGCCATGAGGTCGCCCCTCAGACTCCGTTTCTCCAAACCAGACAAGCCCAAAGCCATTGGCCACCCCTCATAGGATATTCCTTCCAGCCCTTTCTCAGGCTTTGTTGCCCTCCTCTGGACACATTCAAGTACCTTCACTTCCTTCTGAAATTGTGGGGCCCAGAACTACACACAGAACTCAAGGGGAGGCCACCCCAGCACTAAATACAGTGGGATAATCTCCTCTCCTGACTGGCTGGTTGGACCATGTTAATGCCCTCCAAGATATAGTTTGTCTTCTGGCTGGCAGCACACACTCCTGACTCCTGTTGAGCCTGCTGTCAACCAGCACCCCCAGATCCCTTTCAGCAGGGCTGCTCCAGTCACTCATCTCCCAATTTAGACTTGTGTTTGGTGTTACTCCATCCCAGGTGCACAATCTGTCCTTTGGACTTGTTAAATTTCATGCCATCAATGATTGCCCAATGCTTCAATTTATCTAGATCCCTCTGCAAGGTCTCCTGTCCCTCCAGAGAGTCAATGGTACCTCCCAGTTTGGTATCAGCAATAAAATTGGTCATGGATAAACTGCATCCATATCACTGATAAAATCATTGAACAAAACTGGCCCTAGAATTGAACCCTGAGGAACACCAGGCTTACTAATCTTTAGCCAGATGTAGACTCATTCACTGCAACACTTTGATCCCTGCCTTTCAGCCAGTTCTTCACCCAGCATACCGTTCACCTGCTCATCCCACATCCCTATCAAAAGCCTTACTAAAATCCAGGAAAACTCCATCCACTGCTTTCCCTTCATGCACTGAGCAGGTGATCTTACTGTAGAAGGATATCAAATTAGTACAACAGGACTTTCCCTTTGTGAACCAGTATTTACAGTGCCTGATGATTGCATTGTTCGTTAAACACCTTTCAATAGCACCCAACATGACTTTGTCCATAATTTTTTTCCATGGGCTGAGGTCAGACTGACGGGTCTGTAGTTTCCTGGGTCTTCCTTCATGCCTTTCTTTTAAGTTGGAATAACATTGTCTGGCTTCCAGTCAGCAGGAACCTCCCCAGCCTCCCAAGATATTTGGTAAATCTTTAGGCGATTCCTGCTGTAAAGACTGTGTGTGTAAACAGCTAATAGTAGCCAACTACAAAAACATGTAACTAGTTATCACCTGCTAATAATAGTCCACTATAAAGGCATCACCTGTGAATTGTCTATAAAAGCTGAGCTGTGCAACAAAGTGGCATCTACCTGATCACATTGGTTGTTGTGTATGGTGTCTGAAGCTTCTGTGTCGTTAAGTGGTGCCTGAATGGGGACCCTCAGTTCGACGTTTGGAGAACCTGATGATCCGACGGGAAGAGGGGACAGAAAAGCCGGTCGAAAGGTGAGTGCTGCCCCGGCACTCAGGAAAGGCAAGCGCGCTAGCACTACGGCTTAGAGCTGGGAATCTCGCTTTGGCCAGGCAAGTGGCTGGGGAGGAGATGGGGAACGCGCAAGAAGCCGTGAGGGAGCTCATGCAACTTACACTCTCTAAGAGAGGATTAAAGTATGATGAGCATACCTTGAAGGTGCTGTTAGTGTGGGCGTGCGACAGGAATTTGATCCCCACGTTAGAGGCAGTTTATACTACTAATACTTGGGAACTGATAGGAAATGCCTTGTGGGATGAGCTTAGTAAAGGATCCAAGGATGCTCTCAGGCTCTCTGCAATGTGGAGATTAATACTGGACACTTTAAAGGCGATGCAGGCTGAAAGAACTGTTGCTGCGTCTGCCTTCACTGCCATTGTTGGGAAAATACGAGATCTTCTGAACTTGGTGTAAAATCTTTGTATATTTGTGATCTAATACTGCATTCTATGGTAATGGGAGAGGGGTATAGTTTAAAGCTACTGAAGCGGCATACCGAGGACGCCTGAAAAGTCAAGAAGAAGGAGGAGGAGATAGGCATCTAAAACGGGCCTGGAAACCTACCAGAACGACGAAAGGTGAAAAGTACACAGTGAGGAAGACGTCTTACTTCATCAGAAACGACCACCGAGGACCACTAGAGGGGACTGGAACATCGCCAGAATGACGCAATCTATGAAGTAATCCCTAATGAATATGTAATAAGAGGTGATGGGGTGACTACTGAATATGTATGAAATTGTATAATCGCGAGAGTATAAATTGTAAGTTGACACGGTCGTCGGGGAGCCAGATTTGGGTGACTACCCCTGGTTCCCGGGCCCGCGAAATAAAGCACCGCATATAACTACCTTCCAGTGGTTATGTGTTTGTCACCGACACCATGGGTGCAGCAGGAGGGGCTGGAACAGTATCACCCTCGGCCACGACGTTCTCCGGAATGATGTTGCTCCGCCGCTGCGAGGTTTTCCTGTGAGCCGTCCTGCAACATCAGGAGGTGAGCCGAAAAGCCAGGATGAGTCCCGCGAGGGAGGTTGCCCACCTCCGCCTAACGGCACAGGAGGGGTCACGAACAAAGGGAACGGCAATGAGCCCTTACCGTCCGCATCAACACGCAATGAGCCTTTACCGTCCACACCAACACTGTACCCTCCCCTACCACCATCTACTCCATTCTATGTGTCACCCACATCGACAACACCGACGGAAGACTTAGACCACCCGAGGGGTTTGCCTAACTTTCCATTTTGTGAGGTGATGAAAAAGATGGAGGCTCTGGAAGTGCGTCTCGAAGAACGGAACCCCCGCACCCTCTCCCTGTTCCTGACTATCCCGAGGCACTCCCGCCGCCGCCGCCTCCTCTTCCAGCCCCAGCCGCCGGCCCGTGGGCTCCCATGCCCGGGGAGGGGGGGTCCAACCGGTCGGTCCGCCGCACCACCGAGAGCCGCAGGGAGACGGGGCCGCGCCCGCACTCCGGTTCCGCTCGCCGTCACTCGAACTTACCGCACTCCCTCCGCTACTGCCGCTTGTTACGGGCAGTGGGGGGGCGGGTGAAGGAGAACGGAATAGGGAACCGGGGTCGAGATGGAAGGGGGTGATACGAGAGGCAGCGATTGATGGGGTATTCATTGATGCTTTTCCAGTTTTTACCAATCAATTAGGAGGGAAAGAATGGGAGCCGCTAGATTGGAAGTTGTTAAAGGAAGCAAAAACCGCAGTCGCTCAGTTCAGGTTGCAGTCGCTGTATACTCGGGGAATCTTAGAACATATATTTTCGGGATTTTTACTTACACCTCATGAAACGATGCAAATTGTTATGATGTTACTTTCTCCGTCTCAGCAGATATATTTTTTTCAAATTTGGTAAATGAAATGTGATCAGGAAACTGCAATCCCCTGGCAGCAGAATGATCCACAGTTCGGGGTACAGATGCAAATGTTAATGGGAACGGGACCATTTGCTAACGTTGAGTGTCAGGCACAATTCGCGAAAGAGGTCTTACAGCTGAATCAACATCTCGCTTTTAAAACCTTAACGGCTATTAGAGAGAAAAAAACTACTCCTGCCTTTACGGGGGTAAAGCAGGGAGTTACTGAGCCATTTGATACATTTGTCGATCGTTTGCACATCGCTATCTCTTCACATCCTGATCTAAGTGATGAGTTGAAAACAAAGATGCTAGATATGCTTGCCTTTCACAATGCTAACGAGAAAACAAAACGAGCATTGAGTGTGTTGCCGCGAGGTAGTTGACTGCCCAGCTTTTAGAAGCAGCCGAGCGGATGTTAGCTCAGAATCATGCCTCGGTTATGGCTGCCGCTGTAGGCGCGGCAGTACAGCCGCTTTTTCAAAGACGAGAAACGGGAAACGGGGTACCGAGCGCGTATCGCTCGCCGCGCGCGACGACACAAGTGCGGGGGCGGTGCGGGGTGCCTGGACCGCTGTGCAGCCGCCACAGCCGGCAGCGCAGGAGTGGACCTGGCAACAGCAATAGTTACCACCTTAATAACATCAGAGGTAGTGCTTGTGGATTCGGATCAAAAGGGACCGCTAGGGCATGGATCAAGTGCCAAGTAACAATTACTTGGTCGATCATCAATTTCACGAAAAGGCATTTTTGTGGTGCCTGGCCTTATTGATTCGGATTACAGGGGTGTGATAAAAATTATGGTGTATACTTTAACACCACTGGTTACAATTCCAAAAGGGTCAAAGATAGCACAATTTTATTCTGAAGTACCTAAAACCTTACCACAAGAGAGAGGTCAGGGAGGGTTTGGATCAAAGGGCTTCCCTCAGGTTTTGTTAGCAATTGATATAGCTTGAGGAAAGCCTGAAGAAAAAGTATTGGTGAAACACCCGATGGGTAGCTCAATCTCACTGATCTTCCTAGTTGATACTGGTGCTGATGTGACAATAATTCCTCAGCATCAGTGGCCTCAGAATTGGCCTGTTGCCCCTGCTGTCACTAACGTAGTGGGAGTAGGCGGTACACAAAAGACTATGATTAGTCAGGATCGAGTGTCCTTTTGTCTCTTGGATGGATCTGTTGTGTCTGTTCAACCATATGTCATGCATTTACCTGTTGCTCTATTAGGTCACGATGTGTTGTCCCAGATGGGTGCCCGGTTAGTTACAATTTTTTTTTTTTTGGGGGGCAGCCACGTAGGGGCAGCCGATATTAAAGCTTACCTGGACTACAAAGACTCCTGTGTGGGTGGACCAGTGGCCACTAAAGCTGGAACAACTGAAAATTGTACAGAAATTAGTGCAGGAACAATTAGATGCAGGACATATAGTGCCTTCTACCAGTCCTTGGAATATGCCTATATTTACCATTTCAAAGAAATCAGGGAAATGGCATCTCTTGCATGATTTGCGGGTGATTAACGTTGTCATGCAGGACATGGATTTGTTTATCATAGACCTGAAAGATTGTTTTTTTAACATTCTGTTACACCCAGAAGATTCAGAAAATTTTGTTTTTACAGTGCCTTCTGTAAATAAGAGTGAACCTGCCAAAAGGTATCAGTGTGTAGTATTGCCTCAGGTTATGAAAAATTCACCTGCCATATGCCAATCATTTGTGGCTTGGGCCTTACAGCCATTTAGGGAAAAGAATAAATTTTTATTGATCTGTCATATGGATGACATTTTGGTCGCCGGATGAGATTTGAAAGTAGAGAAGGTTTTACAGGAGCTAGCTCATGCTATGCTGAAATCACTTCTGCAAAAACAAAAAGGGGGAGAATCTGTTCCTTCTGAACGACTTGCGGAAGCTGTGTATGTATTAAATTATTTGCGGCTGACAGGGGAGCGAGATTCACCACCAATTGTGATACATCATACTTCATTACAGTCAGGAATTCAATCTTTGGGATCAATAAAAGTACAATACAAGGATTGGGCCACTGGGGACTGGAAAGGTCCAGTGGAATTAAAAATGACTGGTAGAGGATATGGTTGTGTTTTGACAGATCAAGGCCCTCGGTGGGTGCCTGCCAGGTGGATCAAGCTGTGGAAGGAGCCAATCCAGACCAGCTCAACCAGTCTAAGCAACAATACTTGAGGACAAAGCCTCGCCATGGCTTAATTGGAAATATGACTATTGGGGGTAGTAATATGGGGTCAGAAATCCTGATTTTCAGTCTATTGTGGGCAATTGGAAATTGCATTACCAACATTTCTCCCAGACAAAATATGTGGGTAACATGGGCTAATCAAATGGGACAAAATGCCTTTTGTCAATGGCAACTCTATCTAATCCATTCCAAACCTGTTTAATTGGGTTTCCGTATTTGCGTCTACAGGATTTTAAGGGTTATGTTAGTAATGCAAGCCTACTGAATGACACCTGGTTAGCAAAAGAGAATCAAAATACCACATTACAGCCATTTAGGGAAAAGAATAAATTTTTATTGATCTGTCATATGGATGACATTTTGGTCGCCGGATGAGATTTGAAAGTAGAGAAGGTTTTACAGGAGCTAGCTCATGCTATGCTGAAATCACTTCTGCAAAAACAAAAAGGGGGAGAATCTGTTCCTTCTGAACGACTTGCGGAAGCTGTGTATGTATTAAATTATTTGCGGCTGACAGGGGAGCGAGATTCACCACCAATTGTGATACATCATACTTCATTACAGTCAGGAATTCAATCTTTGGGATCAATAAAAGTACAATACAAGGATTGGGCCACTGGGGACTGGAAAGGTCCAGTGGAATTAAAAATGACTGGTAGAGGATATGGTTGTGTTTTGACAGATCAAGGCCCTCGGTGGGTGCCTGCCAGGTGGATCAAGCTGTGGAAGGAGCCAATCCAGACCAGCTCAACCAGTCTAAGCAACAATACTTGAGGACAAAGCCTCGCCATGGCTTAATTGGAAATATGACTATTGGGGGTAGTAATATGGGGTCAGAAATCCTGATTTTCAGTCTATTGTGGGCAATTGGAAATTGCATTACCAACATTTCTCCCAGACAAAATATGTGGGTAACATGGGCTAATCAAATGGGACAAAATGCCTTTTGTCAATGGCAACTCTATCTAATCCATTCCAAACCTGTTTAATTGGGTTTCCGTATTTGCGTCTACAGGATTTTAAGGGTTATGTTAGTAATGCAAGCCTACTGAATGACACCTGGTTAGCAAAAGAGAATCAAAATACCACATGCCATGCCTTGTATGGCTCTGGCGACCCAGACAATCTATGTCCAGTGGGTGTCTGGAATTTCTTACAAGCTGTTATTGTAAATAGTCTGAACAAGTCATTCTCTCTCCCCTTACAAAAGCTGGAATTATTGGGCTCTCTACCTGGCTCAGAAAACAATAAGCAAAACCCGTCATTGGGTTGTATAGAGTTTGGAGGGGAGAAACTGGTCCTCTATGCTCAGTATGGGTTGAAGTATAATGATACAACCTTCGCAGGATACCAAAACGTAACCCCTGGTGAGCCTTTTGATAATTTAGTAATATGGGGTCAGAAATCCTGATTTTCAGTCTATTGTGGGCAATTGGAAATTGCATTACCAACATTTCTCCCAGACAAAATATGTGGGTAACATGGGCTAATCAAATGGGACAAAATGCCTTTTGTCAATGGCAACTCTATCTAATCCATTCCAAACCTGTTTAATTGGGTTTCCGTATTTGCGTCTACAGGATTTTAAGGGTTATGTTAGTAATGCAAGCCTACTGAATGACACCTGGTTAGCAAAAGAGAATCAAAATACCACATGCCATGCCTTGTATGGCTCTGGCGACCCAGACAATCTATGTCCAGTGGGTGTCTGGAATTTCTTACAAGCTGTTATTGTAAATAGTCTGAACAAGTCATTCTCTCTCCCCTTACAAAAGCTGGAATTATTGGGCTCTCTACCTGGCTCAGAAAACAATAAGCAAAACCCGTCATTGGGTTGTATAGAGTTTGGAGGGGAGAAACTGGTCCTCTATGCTCAGTATGGGTTGAAGTATAATGATACAACCTTCGCAGGATACCAAAACGTAACCCCTGGTGAGCCTTTTGATAATTGAACACTATACTGTCAGCATGGAGGGGCAAACATAGCGATCAAAACTCCCCCATATGTGATTTGGAACAACGGCACTCCAAAGGCCTTGCCGCCTGGTTACTTTTTGATATGTGGTGATCAAGCCTGGGGAGGAGTGCCCAGCAAGATTTTAGGGGGACCTTGTTACTTAGGGTGACTTACTCTTTATGCTCCATTAATTGCAGCCCTAAGAGCTTCATGAAAGTCTTCACGTGAGAAGCGGTCACATGAAAAATATTTCACTCATAATTGCAAGGATGATGTACAATTTTGGAATCCGCCAGCTCGAGTATTTGCAGGGTTACTAACCCCTGGAGTTGCAGCAGCAAAAGCTTTAACAGATCTGGAAATGATAGCTTGCTGGAGCGTAAAACAGTTTAACCTTACCTCTAACATGTTAACTTCTCTCTTAGCTGATGTAGATAGAGTAAGACATGCTGTGTTACAAAATAGAGCGGTTATTGACTTTTTACTTTTAGTACAAGGACATGGGTGTAAGGATTTTGAGGAAATGTGCTGTATCAATCTATCTGATCATTCATCCTCAATCTGCAAACAGCTGGCAGAATTAAGGAACAACATGCACAAATTTACTTGACAGCACTCATGGCTGGAAGATGTGTTTCAGTCATGCAGATTGTCAGGATGGCTGTTCGATTTGGTTAGGCAAGGGTTAGTCATATTGCTTGTAGTTATAGTGTTGCTTACTATTACACCATGGTTATTAACATGCTTAAGGAGAATGTTGGAAAAATCAATGGAGAGAATGTTTGCAGGAGCTTGGATTGCTCAAAAACAAAGAGGGGGATTTGTGGGAGAATTCTTAGAAATTAATGGTCATCCTGTGAGCACCCCAAGCTCTGGGCAGCTCTTGACAATAGGCCTCTGACAATAGTCCAGGCCCTTGACAACAGTGCAGGCCTCAAGGTTACTAAATGGTTAAGTTGTGATTTGTAAACTAATGAAGCTGGCAGAAAAGGAGTAGCTGTCTTCTGAATGTACTGCTAAGTAAGACCTTGAGTAGAATAAAAAAACCAGAAAAGACTGTGTGTGTAAGGGTGTCAAAGGCAACCAGAAGGACTTCTCTAAGGACAGGTAACTAGTTATCACCTGCTAATAATAGTCCACTATAAAGGCATCACCTGTGAATTGTCTATAAAAGCTGAGCTATCTGTGCAATAAAGTGGCATCTACCTGATCACATTGGTTGTCGTGTATGGTGTCCGAAGCTTCCGCGTCATTAATTGGCCAGTTTCAACTCTAATTGAGCTTTGGCCTTTCCTGCCTTCTCCCTGTGTATGTGAACCACAGCTCTGTTCCTTTGCTGCGAAACCTGACCTTCCTTCCAGAGGTTGTTCAAGTTCTTTTTTCCATGAGGTCTTCTGTCCCATTTGCTTAACTTGAGACACAATGGAATTGCCTGCTCCTGTGCTTTTGAAAGCTGGTTCTTAAAAACTGAATGCTGCTTGTAGACTCCTGAGAGCAGATTCTCAGGGGACAATGCCAGGATGGATGTTGGTGACTTGTGGCACCAAGTGGGAGGCTTCTGTTCCACCTAAGGGTTTACAACTACAAAATAGGTTCATCGTCTTCAAAGACAAAGTGGAGACAGATGTGCCTTGAAGCCTTGTTTTCTTGAAGAAGGTCGAGCAATGAAGTGCCTACAAGGCATCACTGGGGAGAAGTCCTCAAAACCCTTTCTAGGAAGGCAACACGCTGGGGTGTCTCTGTCAAGTGCCTGCACACTAATGCTCACAGTCTGGGGAATAAACACCAGGAGTCAGAGATCTGTGTGCAGTTGCAGGGCTACAATCACGTTGGGATCATGGAGACAGGGTGCGATGGCTCCTGTGAGTGGTATGTTTCAGTGGAGGGATACAGGCTCTTTTGGAAGGCTGTGAAGACAAGGAGGGGAACTTTCTCCTTCTGTGAGAGAGCAGCTGGAGTGTGTGGAACTCTGCCTGAGTTTGAGTGATGTGCTACCTGAGGGCTTCTGGGAAAGCATTAAAGAGAAGACAGGTAAGGGTGACATTGTAGTGGGTATCTGCTATAGACCATATGACCAGGAAGAACCATCAGATAAGACCCTCTACATGTAGGTAGGAGCAGTCTCACATTGATAGGCCTTGGTCTTCATGGGGAACTTTGGCAACCCCAATATCTGCTGGAGGAACAGCACAGCAGGACATAAGCAAGCCAGGAGGCTTCCGGAGTGCATGAATGACAGCTTCATCACCCAAGTGATAGAGGATCCGATGAGGACAGGTTTTCTGCTGGACTTCAGACATACCAGGAAGGTAGGGCTTGTTGCAGATGTGAAGATCAAAGGCAGCCTTGGCTGCAGTGATCATGAAATGGTGGAATTCAGGATCCCAAGGGGCTGGAGCAGGGTAAATAGCAAGCTCACAACCTTGGCCTTTAGGACAGCAGACTTTGGTGTCTTTCAAGATCGGCTTGGAAAATTCCTGTGGGAGAAAGGCCTGGAGGCAACAGAGGCCCAAGACATCTGGTTAATATTCAAGATCGCATTCTCCAAGCTCAAGAGCAGTCCATCCCAATGAGCAGAAAGACAGGAAAGCGTGTGAGGAGGCCTGCATGGGTGAACAAGGAGCTCCTTGCCAAATCAAAACACAGGAAGGAAGCAAGAACGGATAATCAGGGAGGAATCCAGGAATTCCATTGTCCAAGCATGCAGGGATGAGGTTAGGAAAGCCAAAGCCCAGCAGGAACTGACTCTGGCAACAGGTGTCAAAGGCAACCAGAAGGACTTCTCTATGGACACAGGTGACAACAGGAAGGTTGGGGATATGTGGTCCCACTGATGAAGGACTGGGGCTTTTCTGTTGCTTGGTAACACAGGACATGGGAAGCCTGAAAGACGAACAAATCTTCTCCTGATTATCTGTGTGCCATGCCAAGAACAGATTTTTGTCTTCAGTCTGTTCCCCCTTATTATCCCAGTGCTGCTAGAGGAAGCCACACACCTTTGATTTAGAGCAGTACTGAAATAATGGGGGAAATATCTTTTGCTACTCTCAATACCCATGGCTTGGGGAAGGCTGCTTAGTTTCCTGTCTGGCACCTGAGCTGAGGCTTCAGCAGGCACTGACACATTCCTGCCCCAGAAATCATGGGGTCTCTCAATCCCAGCACTCAGATGAAGCCACGGTAAGGGAAGGTGGACAGCATAGGCCAGGAAATGAAAAGAACCACCCAGGCCATGTCATTAGCTGGGATGTTTTCTGCTCCTCATGAGCAGCTTAGAAAATTGCCACTTCTATAGAAGCTTTGTCTGGGCCTGGGGCAGGCCAGAGCCATCATAAAAGCCAGCCCAACTCCTCGCTCTCTCATCCACTTCTCTCTCCTCCTTCTCCTTGGGAACCAGGTGAGTCTGAAGCCCTTTCCCTGTGTTGTTTTCTGCTCATGCAGATATGTACTCCTCCATGCTGCAATGGGCTGTGGTGCTGCTTCCCATGAGAGGGGAAAGAGGGATGTAAGTCTGACTCAGAGAGTGTCTGGGACTTGGTTGAGAGAGCTCTTCTGTTAAGAAATAGGCAGAAGCCTCCTTGGGCCTGGAGACACTTTTTGTTACCTTGTAAAGAGGATCCGGATCTTGACTGAGGTTTTCCTTCACTGAGAATATTGGCAGTAGTCTGACTGGGTCTGGATGATCCTTAGGGAACTGTGTCTGCAAACCCTTTTGCCCCGCTGCATTGTTTCTACATCCTGGCTCAGCAGTGTGTTCAGTGGAGTTACAGACTCCTGGTATACAGCTCCTCAATGTGCTTGTGCTCTACTGCCTCTCTGCCCTCTCTCCCAGGTGCACCTGCAGGCCAGAGACTTGTCCTGCTACAACCAGTGCCAGCCCTGCCAGCCCTGCGGCCCAACCCCACTAGCCACCAGCTGCAACGAGCCCTGTGTCAGGCAGTGCCAGAACTCCACCGTTGTCATCCAGCCCTCTCCTGTTGTGGTGGCCCTGCCTGGTCCCATCCTCAGCTCCTTCCCGCAGAACACCCTGGTGGGCTCCTCCACCTCTGCTGCAGTTGGCAGCATCCTCAGCTGTGATGGAGTGCCCATCACCTCTGGGTGCTGTGACCTCTCTGGCATTTCCAACTGCTACTATGGCAGAAGGTGCTAAATCCACTGGTGATAGCCCCAGTAAGGACCCTCATGAATCTGGTGCTGGACTGAGGACAGAGCTCCTGGCCATTGATTTCAGAGAGGCTGAGCATCCAGTGCTGCCCTTCCAAAGGAGACCTGCTGGGGCTCTCTGAAATCATGGCCAAAGTCTAACTTCCCTGCCTCATTCTCTCTCCCATCTCTTTCCTGTCTTCTTTTCTTCTGTGGTGAATGACCCACTAAGCCCATGTGGGGCATCTGCTGGAAACTCTTCCCCTGTGGAAAGACCCATGGGATCTCAACTGTGGCCAATGGGCACAGACTTCTGGCTCCTGCTCCTCTCCCTGCTCTGGTTCCCTCCTCTACAAATGAACTTGTTTCCCTCTTCAGAGTCATTAAAGTTTTCTGCACCCCCACATCTGCTTCCACATAACCCTTTTCTTGGGGACATCATTGTCTCATATTGCCAAGGAAGAATGGCGTTGCCTTGGGTGGTGGGGAATAAGGTGGAGGCAGAAGCAGAAGAGTAAGGGAAGAGTGGGACACAGGGCAATGGGTCTCTTCCAGTCACTGTCTCTTGGAGCTGAGGCAGATATTCCCCAACTCCTCCACAGCCAGTGGGTATCAGGCCCTGTATTCCAGCATCTCTGCTCACATAAGATCCCCTGGCCTCAGAGCATGTCGTGCAGCAGGGAGATGGACCACTGCTTTCCCTTAGAGAGGAGCCCGGTGCTGCTGGGTGTTCTGAGGGGTCAGCAGCTCAGAAGCCTGTGTGGAAGGGAATTCCTGGTGCTCTGGATAGCCCTGTGCTGGGGAAAGAACGTCAGTCAGAAGATGGCCCCAAAGGATGTAGAAATGATGATGGTATGAGAAAAAGCCTTCAAAACAGCTCCTGAGCTGCTTCTCTTCATCCTCCCTTTTGTCCTTAAAATGAGGGAGCATGGCCTGCACCCAAGGGCAAGGGTAGTAAGGACAGGTCACATATTCATCCAAAAAGTTCCCTGCACAGCCCAGGAGTTACACAGATGTGCAGGGCTAAGAAGACTCATAAGTTGATGTTGAAACCAGCCCGGCCATGCCACACCTGAGGGCACTCATGTCTCTCACACAACCCCAGCTCCCATCAGAAAAAGCAGCCTGGTGACCTGAGAGTCTTTCAGCACCTTCTCTTTCCTCTCAGGCCACTGACACTGTCCCCTCCTGGAAGAGGATCTTGTCCTGCAGATCCCTGGGTGTAGAGGGGAAGCAGCGCTGCCAGGGAACACCTGAGCGCTCCATTTCCCCCCCCTCAGCCTTGCACAGACACATCCCCTCCCTCTCCTGGGTTCTTGCACAGCCAAGGAAGCTCCCTGCACCACGGTGTCACGCACAGCACAGAGGTACAAGGCACTGTCAGAGACCTCGACTTCCTCCAGCTGCAGGAGGCTGTATTTCCCCGTGGTTTTCAGCTCAGTGGTGAAACGGCCACTGCACTTGCGGCCAGCTCTTGCCTGATAGGAGACCAACTGGGGAGCTTGGCCTTTCCTCTGCTGGTACCAGAGCAAGCCCTGAAAGTAGGAGCTCTGGTATGTGCAGGTTATTTGGAAGTCACTGTAACTTCTCCTTCTTGCTGGGTGACAGTGGTCTGTCCCATGGTGCCTGGAAGAAATCAAGAGGCAGTCACTCTGCAAGGAAAAGCTCTGAGATGCAAAACAAGAGCAGATGCAAAATGTCAGTGGAGAGGACTCCCTGTGCCTTTCTCTGCAGCGAGTGCCATAGATAAGAACAGCAAGATGGTCAGTGTCTTTGGGCGGGAACCCTGAGACCTCAGCTCAGCTTGGGTCCCACAGCACAATAACACCAATTCCCTCCCACGGGGATACCCCCAGAGGAGAGCTGTGCTTTCACCCAGGTCTTTGGTCACTGCTCTCCTGCTGCCTGGAGTCTCCAGGGAACAGCTTGTAGTGTCTGGCCCTCCTGTGATGGCCCCAGGACACCTCCAGAGAGGTGAGAGATCAAAGGGAACTGCAGTGGGAAGTTTCATCCTTCCCACCACTCCCTGTCCTCTCAGGAGATTCCAAGGTCAGGGAAGGGAGGGAAAAGGAAGTCGAGGCACTGCATACTTGCAGGAGGAATGGATGGTCTGGGCAAGCTGCATGGCATGCAGGAGAGTCCAGGAGAGAGACTGGGAGACCCTAAGAGTGTGAGTAGGATGAGAGAGCTCTCGTGTCCCTGCATCAACTTGCAAACCCCCTGTGCATCAGAAAATGTGTACTGCTGAGATAGAAAAGAGCTTCTGCAATGACAAGGCTGTGAAACACTGGGCCAGCACAGATGAGAAGAGAGAGTTAGCGAGAGGTGGATGGTTGGCAAGAGAAAAGGAAGGCAAGCAGTCTGTGATGGTCAGGAGAGGAGCTGTTTCTTCTTGGTCTCCTCTTTTCTATCAGTAGCAGTATCTTGAGAAAGCAAGTGCAAAACCACAGTTGAGATCTGGTGATCCCAACATTTGTCCATAATTCAAGAGCAGCTCCTGCAGAGATCTGTTGAGGGGGTGAGGGTCTGCTGGGAAGAAGAGGAATCCTGCCTCCAGTCAAAGCCAATGCTTACCCAGTGGTTGCCTCAGGAAGGCAGCGAGGACGAGATATCTGAGGCGCATGTTGAGACCGATCCTCCTGCGTGTGTGAGAGAGACTCAGAAAACCCACACGTCCCCACCAAGAGCCCTGAGAGAGCAGAGCTGCCGGAAATGACTCTGCAGGGGGAGCAAAGAATGAAATGGGGAGGAGAAAGTACTAAGAATAGCATGACTCAAATGCCTGTGCTGTTGTCTTCTTTCTTTGTGTTGCTCCTGCAGCCAACATGTTCTGCCTTTTCAAGGTGAGGGCTTAAAGGGAGACAGGTCTGCACCTGGTGACCCACCTCTCTGACACATCTACCTGTGCAACACCTTGGGAGACTCTCCTTCCCTGAGGCCTCTGTCTTCTCTCTCTTCATCCTCAGGCCCTTGGCTGGGATCAGAGCGGAGCCAAAGGGGATTCTTCACTGTCCTCAGGGGAAGGGGAGTGTGGGACACAGTGCTGTAGGCGCCTCCAGAGCCAGTGACCTGCCTGGCTTTGTCTCTCCCTAGAAATGTCCTCTTGAGCATGTCCTGTGGCTGGTGAGCCTGATCAGCTGTGTTTCAAATTAGTAGCCTGGGGATGGCAGCCGGCTGATGAGAAGCTAAAAGCCTCCTCTTGGGGTTGGACATTCCTCTTTGTCTACCTGGAGTTTTGCTGGGAGTTAGCCTGGCAGAAGATGACCTTGAAGTCTTGCACAATTCCTGTGCAGAGGGTAGAGGGAAGCAGGAGGGAGTGATGGCAGGAATAGAGGCTGGGGCTGCTGCCCAAGTGTCCCACATATTTTTTTTTACATCTTTCATATTTAAAAAAAAGAAAACCAAACAATCAAAAACCCAACAAAAGAAAGCAAAATAGAATAGAATAGAATAGAAATTATACACTGTTGTCCCAAGTGGATTTATGGGGTTTATTTTTGTTTTCTTGAGGAATTTAAAGTCAGCCCAAAGTGGCCAGAAACTTTCTAAATTCCTGCTTTTATGCACAGACGAGTTGCAGACCATCTTTCCATTGTGGAAGGTGACCTGCTGAAACGCTGCAGGAAAGTGCTGGGCCCACTGAAATTCCTGAAGGGACACTTCTCTGGAAACAGAACCTGTTGTAAACATAGGATGTTTACCCCAAGTCAGACACACCACCTCCTTCTGGCTGCAGGACATCTAGTACAGGCCTCTTCATCACTGACCTCTACTTCCCAACCCTGCAGGTATTCAGGTCACCACTTTGCCTGCGGAGGATTCCTTCCAGAAGAGTGAGAAGAGAGGATCATCTTATAAACTCAGGGGTATCTCTGTCTAAAAGGGAATAAAACCCCTTGTGGGATGAAGTTGAAAAGTTTTCTGGATTGTGCATGACATGGGCATGACAGAGGAGAGAGAAGATACGGGCAAAGAGAAAGGACCACAGCAGCTTGTCCTGGAGCAAACATGGGAAGACAGATGGTGAGAGGAATGAGAGGAGCCAGTATCATGTGACCATGTGTCTGATGCATGCATTGGCCTGGCCATGCCTGTTGCTCTGCCTTGTTTGTCCACCTGCCAGTACTTCCCTGTAGACACAGTTATCAAGTCCAGATGGGACATGGAGCAGGGCTGATCCTTCACTCTGTGCCTCTGCCCATGGACTTTGACAACCTCTGTCCATGGAGCACCACAGTCTCTTCCCAGAGGCCTCCTGCCAGCTCTCACTCCCCTCAGACCTCCACCCCTCAGGGCAACTCAGCCCATCTCTCTCTGACTCACTCAGCCAGTAGGGTCCTGGCATCCCTTGAGGCTGCGCTCAGTGTGTCCAGGGCAAGCGTTTCCCCTGTCTCCTGGGCCTCAATTCCAAAGGTGCTGACTCCTGCCAAAGGAGCTCCTGGTGTCACCACAGAGCCCCTGTGGGGAGCGTTTGAAGGTGCCTGTGCTCTCGACAGCCCCCTCTGCTGCCGCTGTGGAGCTTGAACTCCTGACTCCATGGGAATCCCGAGCGGGACTCCCGGGGCTGCGGAGACTGTGGGGGCTGGAGGGTCCCGGTGCCGGTGGTTCGGGGGAAGCGCCCCGGGGCGCGGGGCCGGGCGGAGCGGCAGCGCCCCCCTGTCCCCCCGGCCCCGACACACACGCCCGGTCCCGCCCGCGGCGGTTCCTGCCCGGCCGCAGCCCCGGCTCCTCTCCCCGTGTCTCGCAGGGCGCAGTAATACACCGCCGCGTCCCCGCGCCGGGGCCGGTCGAGCCGCAGGGCGCTGGACCGGCGGTCTGCCGCCACCCGCAGCCAACCCGGCGGGGACCTCACTGCTTTATCTCCGGTGACACCGGTGACAATGTGATGCGGTGCCCGGTCTGGAAGCTGACGGTACCATTGAACATTCACGTTCCCTTGAATGCCGGGGTGAGAGCAGTTGATGCTGATGGCGGTGCCCTCGGTGGTCTCTGCCGACGGTTCCTGCTGCACCTGGGCTCTGCCCGCAGCCACAGCCGAGGAATAAAAGACAACCCGCTCACAATTAAGTTTCTGCCCAGCCCTGCCTGCTGTTTCCTGGAACAAATCACCCAGAAGCAGGGAGGATTAAACAGAGGTAATCAGAATTTTTTCCAGGGGATTTCAGCATGTGCACTAATGGAAATGTCCATTAATAGTTGGAGGGGAATTGTGTGCGTGCATGACAGTGGAAGGGTGGAGTCATTGAAGCAAAAAAAGAAAGTAGGAAGGGGGAAGGAATGACTCCATGAGTTATATGGAAAGACACAGATGAATAGAGCTCTAACAGATGAACCTACTCTGACAGACTTTATAGACTCTTCCCACAGTCAGTGAAGAGACTTCAGCACACACACAGGACTTATCCCGTCCCAGAACACAAGTCCATGGGAAATTGAATGAATCATTTTTCTGGAGACACTAATCCTGCAGTTAACCAGTGGTGGTCTCTGAACTCCCCAGCCAGCTTAAGGTCACAGCAGGGCCTGCTTTACCTGGTCACATCTACATGGCTTGCTTTGCCATATGACCAGAAGTGAACCCACAGACTGTCCTACCAGAGATTACAAGCACCTCTAATCCATGGCTGAACCCCAGATCCATGTCCCTGGTACTCAGGGACAGATGGAGAGCAGGGAAAGGGCTTTTGTTGGGGTGAGAGGGATGAAGCTAGGCGTGCAACTCTCATCAGCTGCATCTCTGGAACTCACTGAGTGCAGATCAGTCTGTTTGTGGGCAGAAGAGCAACGGAGTCACCAGCTCTTTGGCTTTCCCTGTGCAAGCCACGGGGTCAGTCCCTCCACTCACAACACAGGCTTCGTGTTCCTTTCATTCAGTACCTGTTTAAAGTCTCAGCCCCTGCCTGGCACATCACCAGGCCTGTGAAGAGCAGAGGCCCATTTGCCATTGGCTTGGGCATGAGGGAGGGGTGCGTCCCACTCCAGGCACCACTGGCACTGCATTGGAAACATGCACTCAGGGATGGGCACCGGGAGGTGGGCAGGATTCCTCAACCTTCTCCTTGCCCAGAAAGCAATCCCCATCCTTTGAACTCTCTAGAGCTGGGGAGAGCAGCTGTGTCCTGGCCTGGAGAGGCAGGGAGCGGAGACTGCCAGCCATGCTGAGGAGCTCCCAATACTCTGGTACTCTGAATTCAACTACGGATCCAAGTTGGAGTGAAACTGTTCTTGTTGGGGGCCTGCAATGGTCAGGAGATTTAGAGGGGCAGGAGAAAGAGGGGTCAGGAAGCAGGAGCTGATAGTGTCCTCTTCCCTGGACAGATCTCCAGCAAACTGGTGCCATCACCACTCAGCCGCACTTGGGCTCCTGCAGACCCTGGGAACCTGCTGCTCTGTGGTGCCCATGGACAGAGCCGTGGACAGTATCCCAGCCATAACCAGCACATTCCCTCCTGAGAAGGGACACACAAGATACAGACACACAGGCTCAGGCACACCAGCATGGAATCAGGCACAAAATTATGATCCCATGTGAATTCAAAAAAACTGGCTGCTTATAATACACCCAAGAGAAGAAGACACATAGGAACACCATGATCCATGGACTCTCTGACTCTCTCACTTCCCTGGGAATCAGGCAGTGTTAGACAGGATGGAGTCAACACCTGTCAAGACAACACATACATGTGGAGAAGCAGCAACATATCACCATTGGGATGAGCTGAGGAGGGATGGAAAGAGAAGGACATGGCAGGTCCTCATGCACAAGAGTCCATGGCTGGAGCTTCCTTCACACAACCATAACAGCGTGACCCAGGCTATTGTCATCTAAACCAACCCAGCATTTGAGTTGATTCTTCTGCTTGCACTGTTGCATTCCTGCCCTAGAAATCCTGGGGTCTTTCATCACTGTGCTCAGAAGAAGCTTTGATTGTGGAATGGGCATGGCACAAACCTGGAAATGAAAAGGCAGTGTTGGAAACAAAAGCACAGCCCATATCATTAGCTACAATGGGTTGCATTCAAGATGAGCTTGTCAGAAAATTGTTACCTCTGCAAAGGGCACCTCTGCTCCTGCAGCAATGAAGGGCAGGTATAAAAGCCAGCACAGGTCCCTGTTCTCTCATCCACTTCTCTGGCCTCCTTCTCTTTGGGAACCAGGTGAGTCTGAAGCTCTTTTTTCCCCTCTTCCAAAGTGAGATCTCTTCTTGATGTACTTTTCATCTGATATTGGCTCTCTCCTGTCCTTTGGTTTGCATTTTCTTTTCATGATAGAGGGAAGAAGGGAGAAGGTCTGCTTAGAGAGAATATAAGATTTGGATGATGGGGCTATTCGTTTATGTTATAGAAGACACCGTCCATGGGCCAGGCTGCTCTTTGTAGGGTGATGAAGGCTGTGTGTCTCCTGCCTGAGATTCCAGCTCCTCACCCAGAAGCAGCCTTGGCTCCTTTGTGACAGGAAAACGAGGATGCTTCTCACCCACCCTTGTGTTCTGCTTCCTCCCTGTTCTTCTCCCAGCTGCACCTCCAGCCTCAAGACATGTCCTGCTGCAACCAGTGCCTGCCCTGCCGGCCCTGCGGCCCGACCCCACTGGCCAACAGCTGCAACGAGCCCTGTGTCAGGCA